GAGTTTTAAGTTAACTATCTTGAGGGTGTGAGGTAGGTGTATGGGTGAGGAAACGACAGCACCCACATCCACAACAATCTTGAATTCGATAGGATTCATTAAATATATGGCAATGATTTCATTTCATATTCGTTTAAAAAAAATAAACATCTACTTGTAACGAGACAAGTATATTATCGATTGTAGACATATAAATATTTGATAAGATTTATATTTTTCAAAATAGTATAATGAATATATTTCTTGTCACTCATTAATTTTAAAATTCGTTGTACTTCTCAATAGTTCGATAAGTTAAAATCAATAAGTGAAAAGTAAAAATCGAATTATTTATTAATAAGGTGTTTAAATTTCTTCATGAACTACTAACTTTTCTCAATTGTTTGTATATTTTATTTTCATTTTGATAGAAATGCACTCTAGATATTTCGAATACTTTTCAGATTTCATGTATATAAACTTAAAAATTCTTCTACTAGCACAACAATGAAAAAATATCATCGTTCAGAGGAAGTCATGAAAGATATCATATAAGGATATGGATCTTGCTTTCGCACCCATATCCTCATTTATGTTATCAAATATAATATATATTTTAATAATATATGCTCAAAAATGAGAGACATATGTGACTATCGACATTTTGTTCTTCTATTTATTCTAATACAAATTTATTGTATCTTGTTTTTTTCAATTACGTTTGTGTTTGACATGAAATAAATGATCAAAAACAATTGTTAGATGTTTATCTATTCTAAGTATTTTCAATAGAGTAAACAGATTAGAAGAATTTCGTTGAGAATTATTTGATGATCAATCATATTTTTGTCCATTAATATCCTAATGATCTTTTCATTAGAATTTAATGATTTCGTCGAGGTAGACATTTTTTCATTGGTTTGCTTTTATAATGACAGTAATAGTTATAGATGAAAGGTATTTTATTCTCTAATTCATAAATACCTATTATGAAGTTTTCTATTAGAGAAAATAACAATAAACTTATTGATCGTATTTTTGTAGTGTGTTGAAACACAAATTACATCATTTTATAAATCAAAGAATAAATAATAGAAAATACTAACCATTTATTAAATAAAAACGAACGTTTGGTAAAAGTATCATGTTGGATAAACGAGAAACATCAATAAAACTATTATTGAAAATTAGTCTTTTGAATTTTTATTAAGAATCTATTTTGTAGCTAATATTCGAAATTTGTCATTTTTTTCTAAATATCCAATTCGATTGAAACAGGGATGTATTTGATGTACCCTAGTTAAGTCACCAATTCGATTATCCTTGGTCAATATTTCTCTGATATAACAATCAAATCGAGACAAATGATACAATCGATTGATCAGACCATCAGCTAAATCGATAAACGACGTACGATATACAGTTTGTAAATACAAATGTTCAATGTTAGGTGTATAAGTAAGAATATTGTCAATATCATTAAAAGTTAGTTCGGTATAATCACTCCAAAGAGTCAACCGACGAAGTGGATGATTTACTGGCGGAGACAATGTGACAATATTATTATTGTTATACAATATATGAACTTGAAGATGATGAAGTTTAGGACATGAAGTCAGAATGGCTAGAACAGATATTGGTTTACAAGAAAGGATTGATACAAATTCGAGAGAAGATGATATAGTCCATAAATTACAAGTAGACTCATCGATACAGCCCAAATTAATGTGACGAAGAGATGGAAATTTATTGGAGAACACATCACAAATTAATTGCCGTGGCGGAGTAAATTCAGATCCTAACAAAAAAGATAGATGAGTCAAATTGGGAATAATTTTCGGCTGAATTTGTTTGAGATGTTTTGAGTTTCCATCACATAATATCAATGTATGTAAATTTGTAAATAGACTAAAATCACAATCGATGGATGTTTGAATTATCAATCGATTTATATAAGAAGCATATAATTTCATCAACAATGGATCAATTTTCTCACCGAAAATTAATGATAGATTTTGATAAGTTAGAAAAATATTGTTCAATCGTGAATTGAGTCCCCAAAAAGCATTATATAAATGTTCAATGTTGATGAAAGTGAATAAATAGAAAAATAATTCATTTGGAAGTTCTTCAAGTGTGGTACATACACCTAAAATATATTTGTACAACAAAATATTGCTCTGATCAATTCTAACGTATTGGAAATATTTTTTTTCTAAAGCATGGCGCTATTCATAATAGAATGTTCAATACTATTTTAATCATGATTTTAGACATTATCTTCATTTAATAGTACATTTTACGGAAAGGAAAAAAAGAGTGAAGTTTACCAGTTGAAGATATTTTCATGGTTTTTTTTAATGCAAGGGTAGTTTTCTCGATTTTTGGGATTACTGAAGAACGACTCATCAGAAAAATTTGAAATTTTTAGAATAGGGAGATCTTAATGAGTAGAGCAAAAGTTGTTATCGATTCAAAGTTTCCAGATATTATTTTCTATGAGACATTGGGCGTACAATGACGAAAAATCATTCCCTCATTTCTTCGAGCTACTGTGTTTGATCGAACTGAAAATTTGTTTTACAAACACTAGACACTGTTTGGGATTGGTATCGTTTTTTCTGTCCTTCGAATAAAAAAAGCCAAAATATCGCATGTTACTTTGAAGCTTGGTCGGACGTACTTAGTTGAAGACACGAAGATGTTTCTCCATTTTTTTCATGAAAATGTTGATTTGAAAAACATGCGAAATAATGTACACTTGTCTCTAATTTGATTTCTTCTCAAATTTTTTTAACTTTTAAAGACAAGTTTTAGATCTTAAAATATACTCAGTAGATAGATACTACTGCTGACTATACAATGACTACAAAAAACAACAATTTTAGGTCACGACACAAGCGAGAGGGTATCCTTAAAGATTTTAGTCTTTTGCTGGTAATGACATGTATTTGTAACTTACTGTCTTCAATGTATTGGATAGCGTCAGCGTTCTGCCTCACTTGGGTATCATTATTTGCATCCGGAATAGTAATTTGGACTTGTATTGAATCTGTTTTCAGCTTCTAAAAAAAAAAAATATATTGTCAGAATTCAATCATATACCTAAGATTTTACATCTAATAAAGATATAGATTTGTCATAAGCAAAATCTAGATTAGAATTTGTTGTTGAATCCAAAACATTTGGTATTTTTCTAATGAACAAATTAGACAATGTATTGAAAACGTTACTGATTACTGATGAAACTGAATGTGTCTTCAACTTTTCACAATCACTTCGTGAACCTGAAAATGAATGAAATTCTTTTTAAACAATGTTCAATACATAATAACAACACACCTTTAAAAATAATTTGTCCTTTTCGATATTGTCCGTTTATTTCGATAAAACAAACATCATTTACATTAGTAAATTCAGGTGATTTGAAAATTGCTGATTGAGGTATCGTAGAAATAATGTTGCTGTTTTCCCACTGTACAGCACAAAAACTTTCATTACAAACAGAAATTCCATGTGTATCTGTATTAGAGTTCGATGCTACAATTAAATCAATAATGAAAGTAATAATTGGACTATAAGTAACGGTTAGATGTATGTTAGTTACTCGATGTAGCATATATAGGTTTCAAATGTTGAACAGGTGGAAGATCACTATGCAAAAGCTTTTCATTAGATCTGTAATGGAAATATGTAGCTGGACTACAGACAAGCATTTGAACTGGAAGATGTCGATCAGTCTTGAAACGTCTGTCAAGTTGATTGGGTGTGTCTTTTTCAATATTAACGTCATTTAGTGCAATGATCCGATCAAAATTTTTGATGCCTGTTCGATACGCCAGGCTCGATTTCCAATCACCATAAAATTCAATATAATGAAAACGTTCTTTTCGATGATAACGTAGAAAAATGCCTAACTTCTGTTGTGGAATCGCACGTTGCATTGTACATAATCGAATATCATCTTTTTCGTAAATCAAACTAATGTTTTCATCAATAGATGCTGAATCTGTATAAAAAAATAACAAAATTCATCGTCATACAGTCAATAACCGTGTTGTCCTTTACAAAAGTGTTCTTTGAAAATAAATTTTAATAGATTTATCGAGATTAAATATTATTTATTAAATGACTTAGCTCTCTTATTCTTTACTCAATACATTTATCAAGTTTGTTCTAAATCAATTCTGAAAACTTTTATTATATTATCCGATTTAACAGAATAACTGAGTTGTCATACTAAATTTATATCGCACTGTTCATATGTATAAAATCCCGAAGACTTCAAAACTACAAGATTATACAAATGGTAAATCTTTTGAAAGGAATCCTCTTTCCCGAGGTTTCTCAGAAGCGAATTGACAAAAATTATTAGAGATTCAACATGTCTCAAGGCTTTTCTTTCGAAAAAATAAGAGACACAAGACTATATCTTTTAGGGCTGAAATTTTATTGTAACAACTAGACTAAAATCTGACTATGCACTATTTCTGAAAAATATTTTTTCTTGAAACTCAGTAAAAATCAATATGTTGAAGACACTTTTAGACAACTTCAAAACTTTTTTGTTTTTAGAATCTAATTTTTCAGAAAAATGCAAAAAGAAGTTGCAAAATCGACGTCTTTAAAACTTCTTTTAGATACAAAGTAATTTTTGTCTCCTTAAAATCTACTCATTCGATAGAAGACATTTAAATATATTATATATATATATCGAACATAAAAATAAAAAACTGAAAATCTTTGATTGAGAGACAGAGATTCTCTTAAGGATTAGAACTTTAATTCGTCAATAAAAAAATAACAATTGACATAGCGAACGTTAATTATCATTATTTTGTAATATCTATTTCTATTTTTCTGCGCCCTTTAGGAAGCTGCGAGTCCACGTTCTTGTGGACCCGGATGCGACAAAAAAATGAAACTTTGGACTTGGGCCCGGTCGGATTTGAATCTGGAACGACCCGCAGCTCCCTGATCCCTTCCCCTCCCGAAAAAAAAAATTTTGGAAAGCGATGCTTTTATTTACCATAATGCTCTATAATCCATGTTTGAAACATTTTGGGTGGATCAATTCCCAATCCAAACATTTGTTTAGTATTACCTCGATTATCAAGATATTCAATCACACGGCCAAAGTCTGTGACATTAATACTTTTGTCTGATTTTAAAGCTTCTGCATCAGCAACTTTACTAAGAGGAACAAGAACATAGTACCATGCTGGTATTTCTTTATGTTGGCCACGAAAGATGTATACAGATTCGCCGAAAATTTGTTCTGTTAGAATTGTTTTAGGTCTATTGCCATAACTTGTAAGTGAATTCTGCAAAAATATAGTAAAAAATTAATTAACACCTTTTGGCTTATATAAACGATAAAACTAAAATATTTTTGTTTTCTATCTCAATTAAATTGCAATGAATTCTATTGTTTTAAATGTTTTTAAAATGCACGTATTTGAATAAAATATGCGAGAAGCACGCATGAATATTTAATAAAATTTTGATTTAATCTAAATTTTCTTAATTAATTTTTCTATAGTAGAAAATTACCTGTAATTTTTGGTATAATTTAGCCATTGAATAATATGTAAAGTATTTGTGTCTGACAAATTCAAGATGTCAACTAGTATCAAATAAACAACAATTCTTGTATAAATTTTATTATATACTATCATTGTTATGAAAAACCAACAGATGAATACGAAAGGTTATTATCTAAAGAAAAAGTTGGATATTATCATTGACAAGTAGATAACGTTGACTTGTCTGTTATTTTGTTCTACCTGGATTGTTAATAAATGATAAAAGATAATTATTTGTCTCTTATATTTCGCAAAATTTAGAAGTTTTTTTTTTTTATTATTCCATCGACAATGATAAAATATGTTTTCTTCTATTTGTTAAGTTATATCATGAAAAATAATAACATTAAAAGTCCTGATGAAAAAAAGAAATAGATCTCTACGAAACTGTTAAGGTAACGGTATGCGGAATCTCTCGAGTGCTAAACCACATCAACACGTTCTTTATTAAATTATAAGAAATTATTTTTTTTTACATGCAAAGTACAAAAAAAAATAGAATAATCAGAAAAACTAGTGAAAATGTATTTCTTTTTTTGACTGTTCACCCCGTATAAAAGTTATTTATCTTTTAATCTTTTTTAATTCAGTCGACGATGCAAAATTCTTTTTGTTTTTGTTAGGAGAGATTACATAAAAGATCTCACAAAAACATAAAAATATTTTTCAAATATTTTTTTGTAATGATAAAGAAATATAAAATGGCTCTTTTTTTCCAATCTTCATACCTTTCAATGGTAATTATCTCTCTTAGGCACATCATTTGAATATGATCAATAAATAAAACGAAAGAATTTGCACCAGCACTTATAATTATTATATTAAGTGAAATTTATTTCTTTAAATATCATTTCATTCAGCATTGGACAAAAATACAGATGCTGTATTGTTTATGAATGCAATAAATATACCTCTGTAAGTGAATAGTTCATTCAAGAGAATAAAATCTTCGAAAATATGTAAAATTATCGAACAATAAATCATGAAATCAAGCTGATACTTATTGTTAATAGTAAAAAAAAGTACTGAAACTTTCAAGTGTAATCGATTTTATCTTTAGGCACAATTAGTTTTGCGAGAAAACGAGAAGATCTCTTGGTATGTCTTGACGAAATGTATTTGTAAATATTGCAAAATGAAAAAGAAAGCCAATCATTCGTAATTGCTCTATCTTTTTAACACAAATAATGCTCGTCGTTCAAATTTGCTTGGAGTCTGGATAGAAATGTTGGTGAGGATGTCGACCTCATACCCATATATCCACAAGTTTACTCAGTGCCGCAACAACAAACCGAGGCCCGTCATTTCTTATATATATAGATCAACAATGATGAAATTATTTGAGGGTGTGTGAGTATGGATTTGAGCCTTCTCTTCACTTTCACCCATCTTCATATCGATACCCTCAAATATCAGGCTAAATATGCATGCGCAGATTTCTAAAACAAAAAGCTCTGTGCACTACTTCTTTCAACATTGTAAAGCATTTTTAATATGGACTCGCACTTTTATTGTAATCACAGAGACTTTCAATGAAAGAGGACGAGAAGACAAAGATAAGTAGCAATCGATCCAAGACTGATTTTCGTGACGAACATTAACGCGGAAGAATGATATAGATTTTTGAATTACGGGCACCCCGAATTTGGATCGAAGCACCTGTATAATAATTATTGTCCAAGCCAGCTTCATGAAGGCTAATTGAGATCTTACGACGAATGAGTGCTTTACAAGAATCGCCTGTTGTAAGATCAATTAACGTGGCATCACATTGAACAGGATAGCTCTCACGACATGTATCGATTTTTAGGTGAAATTTGTGTTTAGCGCAGCCTCCACTATAGCGAATATTCATGTCAATCGTTTTGGTCTTGGCATTGTAACTTCCACCTTGGATGTATGGCATGTTCTGTGCTAACACTATTGCAAAACAGCATAGAACAATAACAGCAGTGAACACTATTTTCATGATAAACGCTCCTTGTAACTAAGAAATAATGGGTTCAATTGATGGACCTCTGAAATAATTAAAGGTACAACAAATGATGAAGAAGAAGAAGAAGAAGAAGAAGCAATGAAGATAAGTATCAGGATTAGAAATACTCTCTTCTGCCTCTCTGTAGTGTCAAAAATCGGCAAAGATCCGGTTTTAGGGAGACAGAATCTAAACACATGATGAAATTATGAATTCTAGCTTACTTATTAATGAAAGGAAAGCGAGATGAATAATTGATTGGTTCATCTACTTTGATCAACGAAGATATAGTCAAAAGAGATGACGCTAGTTCATGATCGATGACATAGACATTCTTCAAGAACCATTGAGATATGTTTAGATTTTCATAAAAGTAAATTACGCAACGGACGTGAGTCGATATAGCCATGTTTCGACCCACGACACTTTGACTTTAAGAAGATCAAATTCGAAGTAGATATATTGATGGTGTTCTCAAAAACCATCCTTGTCTTCTATCTTAACTACAGAATAGAAGATACCGTTACCGACCAATTAAAAGAGGACCTTTCCTTATCCCTAGATTCGCTCGAACAACAGGATCTTTTATTTGTATAATAATAGAGAATATCATTAGTAATATATTCAATTTTTCGTATTATTGAAATAATTCATATTAATAATATTTTTATGACCAATAAATCTAACTTCTATGGGTAATAAGGATAAACATCTTAAACAATGAACTGAACAAATACGAATAGAAACTTAGCAACTCATTCGATAGTATCGACTAAGACATCGAATAATTAAAACAATATCTAATAATAATTCAAAAGGATTAGCTCGTATTTATCATCAAATTATATATCGATAAAAATCAATATTTGAGTAATACATTATTTTATTAAAAAACAATTACTTAAGATTAATTTACGTTATTTATTTATTAAATAAACTTTCATTATGTGTTATATGAAGAAGAAAATTTTGATGGAACTTTGAAATATTATCAATGTGATCTGAACTATGATAAACAATCTAAACTACCGAATCAAATGCAAACTGCAACTGCATATAATAATAGTGGACTAATTTGCATTTATCAAGAAAAAATCGAAAATTATAACAAGCAGTTGAAAATTATTCATAAACATCTTTCATCTTGTCATCCGTTATGAAGTAATACGTATACGAATACTGATGCAGCATATCAGACATTCGAGAATACTTTTTACTTGTGAAAACCCATTAGAAGTTTATCAGAAATATCTTTCTACTAATCATCCTTTATTGACATCAATTCAATATAACATATCAACGTCATATGATGGTCTGCGTCAGTATAAAAAAAGCTGTTAAATATACCGAAATGGCAGTCAATGTTGCACATCATTTATTTGATTTTCTACTTGATTTATTTCTGTAATTTAAATAGTCATTGTCTTACGCATATTGCTCTACAATGTCTTGATCTTCTTAATCCTCATTCAAAGCAATTTGTACCATATCGAGAAAGTATTTTGAAAGATGAAATAGATTATTTTGAACTTCGAATATTAACACCATGCGTTGAAATTCAAAATATTTCTCGTTAAAAATTCGCAGCACATGTATCCTTATATTAGTATACAATTGACTTCCTCACTTTTTTTTTAGTTGTTTACTATTTTGATTAACAATATATTATTCATAAGCTTCTATCTAAACTGAAAATAAGAAACTTTAGTATCAAATTAAGTTTTTGATTACAGTCATTCATCTTATTACATCGCAGAATCATTTTGTTTGAATTATCATTCTCTTTGATATGCAGACTAACATATATTCAAATAAATAAACACACTATGATTGCAATTGTTCTAGACAATAATACAAATCTTGTTTATTAGATTTTTTAATGGAGTTTTTTTCGAAATCAATTATCGATTATGAATAAGAATAGTTTGTTTTATAGAAATAATGATAGCTACTATCACCATAAAGATGTGTAGGCTGATACGTCGGTAATGAAAACTATCAAGTAGAAGTTGATCCTTTTTTTTGGAAGATTTTATAATTGACATTGTATTATTGTAATAATAGAATACGATAGAATAATAATGGGGACTAGATAAACACAAGAAATATAATTCAAAATATTTATTCATTTTTGTAAAGATGATAGAGACTTAGCTATGTAGAGAAATATATTAGCGAGTCATAAATATCATGTGATACCGCATGTTTGTGTGCACTACTTTTGAATTAAACTAACTGATCGAATATAGGTGTTCTTTCTTTCGTAGTTAATCGATGAAAGCTCAAGTGCCGGTTGCTCATCTATCGTGTTACCGTTGATAGTGATAGTTTTTTGCATTATAGGTAGATCTCAAGATCTTTTTATATCAGTGTAATGCTGTGAAATAGTAAAAGATTAGAGTATCTTGCCTCCTTTGTCAATGGAAAGAAAACAAGATATTTCTATTTATTTTAAGTATTCGGATACAATTATAACAGTATCTGCAATGTATGAGTTACTATTCGTTCAACGATATACTATCACTATTTTTCGATTAAACAGTCACTAATTTGTTCAATTACATACTTTCAATATATCCGCTTAATCTATATAATTATTATGACATACTCATGCACATGAATAAGTTACGCAACTATTTCCGGACTCATCGTAATAAATAATTACTATAGAGTTTATATTTAGAACAGTGAAGCAATCTTTAGAAAAAAATCAAGATTTATTTTAGACCCTTGCACGTTACATATTACTGAAGCTGAAACTTGCTTTGTTTGCACAATTATTAATAGTATCGGATTCAATGAAAGTACGACTGTATCTATCTAAGAAAAAGACAAGATCGTTTTACAGCTTTTAAATATCAGTAAATACCACGCGATACAGATAAAAGAACTTCATGTTCAAAGTATTTGCGATTATTAATGACAGTCATATCAATTGACTTGCAAGCATTTTCTCCTTTCTGATCATTCTTAATGTGTATATTCATTCATTGCTTGATTATTTATTTTAATAAAATATGATGTCATACATTTTTTCATATTACTTCCAGTAAACCAGAAGTAGATTATTGATCAGAGAGCAATTTTCAGTGTACTACACTAGAATACCAGTTATAGAATAGACTATTATTTATTTATGGAATGACTGCCGACATAGAGTATATTGTGTCGAACAGTCTACCAACAGTTTATTGGCAATTTTTTTGTTTGATTTGAGTCATATGAGATCTTATGCAATATAATTCATCATCATCAGTTTTACAATAATTAATTGTTCAATTCACGATAGCATAAATCACATTTACTTATTAACAATTACTATTTTCACGAACTATTCTAGATTATTTAATAATAACTCAGAAAATCGTATTTCTTACCCAAAAAAGAAAATTCATATTTACAAATCTCTTCAATTCCCTACTTATTTTGGTCATGTGAAGTAGAAAAAAAAAAAGAATCACAAGAGAATAATTGTGTCGACATGCACACTACAATTTTTTTTTTCATCTCGTCATTCCACTCATAACCAGCAGGGAGATAAGAAAAAAAAAGCGAGAATGTGTCATTCTCTGGTTATGTGGTGAAAGGGAAAAGAAAAAAAAAAGAAGATGACAATGTCAATACATTATGATGTAAAATGATTCGGTCAAAATGTTTAATCAGAACGACTATATATGATATATTTAGCTATTTTTTTTTATTTTGTTAAACGTTCTAGATATTTTTTTTAAGTACAAAGTGGTTTAAACAATCATTACAGATAACTCGAATGTTAATGTTAATATAAATATTATTAAGATTTTCAACAAAAGTAATCAGTTTCTTCTCAGTGAATTTCTCTGATTTTTAAGTCAAGTTAGACAATGTTGATTTTTATATCATTGGCAGAAAAAACAACAATGTTCTCTTTTTAAAGTATCTAAATGTAAAGTTAATGATAAGATGAAGTACTTTTAATATATTATAGACGTCATGAAGCCAGGATGATCACAATGTGAATCCTTTTGTGAATGTAAATATTCAAAAATTTTTATTTTTCTATAATATTTAATTATATGAGAATAACATTTTTAGTTATGCTGTGCTTGTTTAGAACTATAACAACAACAATAAAAAATTGTTGTGGTTTTCTTTATTATTTCTTATCATGAATCTTGTCTCGTCCTATTTTTTTTCGTATGTAATTGCATTTACCATCTTGTCCTTGTTTCAGATCGTTTACACATCATCAGAATCTAATTTTATGGCTCCGAATAGTGAAATAGACCGTCACATTTGCACATCAACAAATTCAATAGAATCAACAATTAATATAACTGATCGTTTATATTTATTTATTAATGAACAATGGTATGATCTTACTCATTGGCAATATATACATCCAGGTGGTTCAGAAATTCTTCAAAATTTAAATAGACAAGATGCTACAGATATATTCTATTCTCTTCATAGTAAAGAAGCTATTAAAAAACTTTCTTATTTAAAACCATGTTCATCTCTTCATATTCAATTTATGTTACCAATTATTGAATCAACTAATCTTACATTATCATTTCGAAAATTACGTGAAAATTTAATTCATAATGGATATTTTAATCGATCAATATTTTGGGAATTATTCTATTATTTATCTGTTTATATTTTATGTTTATTTGGTACATTTTGTCATTTTTATTGGAATTATCATTTTCTAGCTATTATTATTATTGGATTTGGTATGCAACAAGCTGGATGGATTGAACATGATTATATACATGGACGAAATATATGGATGCGATGGTTTGGTCGAATATTAAGTGGTTCTATTAATGGTTTTAGTTTAACTTGGTGGTCACATAAACATAATACACATCATATTTATATGAATAATATTGGTATTGATACTGATCCAATATTTCATTTATTTTTTCCTTCAAAAAAAGATAAAAATATATGGTTTCGATCTTATCGACATTGGTATTTTATACCTGTATATTCATTATTATATTTAAGTTGGCGATGGCAATCATTTCAATATTCATTTAATACATTGAAATATTTTGAACTTATTTTAATGTTATTAAATTATATCTGGCTTTATATACTTGGTTGGCAAGTAGCATTTGGTTCAATTCTTATTGGTAGTTTACTTGTTTCTTGTATTATCACAACAATACATCAAAGTAAAAAAATATTAATTGATTCACATTATTCATTTGTTGAAAAACAATTTTTAACAACACGTAATGTTTATTGTAATAATTTTTTTATGGAATGGTTATGGGGTGGAATGCAATATCAACTTGAACATCATCTATTTCCAATAATGCCAAAATATAATTATGCAAAAATAAGACCTATTCTTCAAAAATGGACAAAAGAAAATGGTATTCATTATCGATGTGAAAATGTTTGGTCAATTTGGTATCGAAATTATCTTAGATTAAAATATTTTACAAATCAAATAAAAAATACTTAAGATTTAGTATCGACAAGAAAAAACAAAACTGATCGATTGACTTTTTCTGATATTGTTCTTGTCAATTAACAAAAATTGTTTAGTTTTAATTATATATACAGATAAATTTCATTGCTTAAACAGTCATTATAATTATTTATTCTTCTTTATTTTCTAGTGTTTTTAGAAATTATTATTCGTGACTAATGAGAAATATATTTATAGTTGAAGTGTTTAATGAATTTATACAGGGTGGTGGATATGGGTGTGCTTGAAAAGATGAGAAGACCTTGACATTCTATCAAAATCTTGATACTTCTCAATTGATTTTACACGATTCTAACATTCATTAGAGCAATCAAAAGAACATTTTTATACGTCGGATAATTAAAAATTAAGTGACAAATTTATATCAATACTAAGACATTCAATAATGATTAAAATCGTAGAGTTTAAAGATAAATCATTAATTGTTTCTTATCAAAGATATGAATCTATTTGACCTACTGATAGATTATTAAAAACATAAATGAGCATGCATGTAGAAATGTCAGTTCATTTGTCGACGGCTTTAGTCAATAAGAATTTGAAGAATGAATTTGCGTGTTTTTCATCATGCGATCTATTTTCAGTAGCATATTTTATAAATCACAAAAATAATCAACAAAAAAAAGACAAAGAAAATGGAATATAGCATTTAATTGATGGAAGTAAGTTTTTGAAAAAAAAAGAAATTTAACACATAATATATAGCACCGCATGAATAAACATGATATGTGTACTATTAGTAGAAATTATATGTCGCAATTAATTATATATATATTCAGTGTGATTATGCGCTCGTCTAGATACTCCTTTCTTTCACTTTGTATATCAGCGTCTTTTCAACTAGATCAATACACAATTAATTTCTCTTTGTTAATGATTAATGAGCACTGCATTGACTACAAACTTTTAAATTATTGATCTCTATTTAATCATAGATTATTACTTCTCTTGGATGGAATACACGATAAACACGATAGGTTCTACGAGGAATAATAAAGATGTCCCGTGAATGAGACAGATATGACCGATCACAATCCAGATCAGTACACAGCTCTATATGGTACAATTCAACAATGCCCTCGTTCGTGTACATGTAGTCAATATCATCAGGTTGACTAAAAACAAAAGAATAGATTGCTATAATAGAACTGACTATTGAAACAAACCTGCAATATAATCGATAAATGCAATAGCCAAATGCGAATGCTACGAGAATACTCACACCACCACATGAAATTCCAATTGCCAACCATTTGGTAGAAGCTGTTAACATAAATAAATAGGATCAGATTTTATCATGATAATAGAGAGGCATATGAACAAACAATTTTCTGTTGAAGTTGGAGAAGTTATTGAATCAATTGTAATACAAGCTTCACCTGGACATGCACATAGACTCGTTTGTGTGACATAGAATTTGAAACAATATTGAGATGATTGTGCGTTTTGACTGGAACGAAAAAAATATTCATATTATATGTTTCTTTGATTATTAGTTGGTTTCTATACCTATCGAAAGCCATTGCACATAGAAGTTGATAGCCAATTTGAGAATCGGTCGGTGTCCATGAGAGATTAGCATAATAGGTAGTTATGTTTAGTTGAATGACGTTTCCTCGTGTCATTCCAAGAAAAGCGAATATAGTAATATCAATAATAGTCACATTTGAACCACAATTATTTATAGCAATTAATTGCGATGAGAATGTTTGACCGGTTATGGCTACTATACAAGACTCTTTAGGAGGTATTCCAATAATTGTAGGTGGATTAGAACATAACGATTGTTCTACTACTTGTACAAGAAACTGAACAGGTACCGAACTAAGAGGAGTTGTACTTGTTGAATTGATGAAATCTTCGACCTATTTATGAAAGAATTTTGTTTTTTCGATATAAAATACTGCTTACTAACCATAAGTGTCACAGCATACCAATTGCCAACAGTTTGACCCGTTATCAGAATAGTACAATTAGGATCGATTGTAGTGTTTGACGGTAATGAACCGGGTGGACATACACCACCACATTCATTCACTCCATTCGATGCAGTAGACCATCGACAGCGAGTGACGTCTCCGTCATCATCAACTACAGGCACATAAATAACTGTTGTTTGATTGACAGGAATTAGGATGGGAGACATCATTGTAGCTACCGGTGCACTGTTATACAGGTTATTATCAGATCTTCGATTGACAGTTATACGTACAGAGATGGACCAATCGGCGATCATCGCCGTTGCCAGTGGACGCCAAGCATTTTGTTGAAAAGCAGCTGAAAAATCGTCATCTTCTTGCAAAGTCACAATGTCTGAACGTTGTCCAACAGTCGTTCCGACAGGTGCTGAAATATCCATGCAGTAAGGTCTAACACTAGGTGCTACATAGCCAGTTGAACTAGCTCCACAGTTACTGATACAGACGAGTTGTTGGGTTGTAAGATACGAATAAAATCCAACAGGAATTAATTGAATGCTAGTAATCATAGCTGTGGTACATGTTATCAATGAATATGTCCATGAATAAGTTTGAGTAATAGTAATATCTACAGATGTTCCTGTAGCTGATGCATTTACTGGACGCCATGAAATAGTACCGCCGAGAAAATGGGATCCGTTTATGTTACCAATGATACAAAATAATAAAACGAGAAGAACGATAGATCTCATTGTTAGGCATAAGCTGTTTTGTTAAAAGCAATCAAGTAATAATCAGAATAGCAAAAAAAACACGCTTACATGCATAATAAAAGGTTTGCCATGATGTTAACATTTTCATTTGTACGAGATCAATTAATGGCACAAAACAAACAAACGAATGATTCTTTCGTGTTAGAGTTAATAGCTTGCGAAATTCAAAATGTATTTACCCATTACTATCGAAAATGATCACGATCAAAGAATTGATCTCTTCTGATCTCCGACATTTTTTGAGCGTGTGAAACTCAGAAATAACTGATTTTTAGCTACATGCCAGAAAACTAACCATATTAAAGAGGCGTACTTCAGATGCTTCTCTAGAAATACGAACTATCGAATTGTTGAGATGCATATATTTCATAGATTTTGTCATTGTAAATATGTTCGAAAAAAAAACAACGCACAAAATGGCGTATGTAATAGACATTTCAATCAGTATGTACATTTTTTTTTGTGAAGAGAAGCAAAACAAAATTTAGATGGAAGCCTACACATAGCACAACATTGACGTATTATTTGACTAATATCAGTATAAAAAAAAACAAATTGTACATGATTTTTTTCATACTAATATAGAGCACAAAATCTACAGTGAGTACGAACAATTAAAGTAGTGAAATAAATATGTTGAGAAAACAAAAACAACCATACAAATACTATATGGTTCTATATCAGACAATTTTTCACTTTTTCGGAACTAACTTACTAAAGATATTGTGAACATTGATTCTACAACGAGCCTGAGCTGGATGTGGGTCTATATGTGCATTCTTCATCTACAACCACACCATTAAAAGACTTGCTTTTCTTTTTGGTATGACGAAGATTTGAAATCATTGCTTTAGTCGCCATTTTCAATGAGATAAATCCAATCGCCTAATGTTTAGGATTTGAACATAGCTCAACCCAATCTTTAGTTTGAGATATAAAAATTGAAAATCAACATTTTGCTTCAACCGATTTCTGTCAAGAAAAAAAGTGAAAATTTCTTATGTCAACATATTTTTATAAAAATTCAAAGCTACGAAATGTTATTAAACTGTACCAAATTTAATAGTACCGTTCAACAGTTATACACTAGTTTCATTTTATTGCACTCCGATATATATACTACAATGGAACAAAATCGAAATTGATGATACTGTCAGAGCCAATATAGCTGAAAAAGAGTTTTGTGCTGCTTTGAATTTACATTGGAGTTCGTATTTTTCGCCTTTTTTTTCCTAGGTTACAGCGGTTCTATTATGGACGGTCTTTTTAAGTACCAAGCATGAAATAAAATTTCTCGTACTTACTGTTCTAGCATCTGTCAAATTTGTTTGAAATGAAATCGTGGCTTTCAGTACAACAAATCCATGAAACTAAGAAAGTGTATCCATTGAGAAAGACTTTAAAAGCATTCTATCCAGTAGAAGCCTCGATGAATATCAATCTCTTAGCTGCTCTCATTTTGATTTAGAAAAACAAAAGTTTCAAACTTTTTCGTTTCTAGAGTCTCTCCTAATAATAGATAATATCACACCATCCTTCACCTTTGTTATGTTTGCGAGAATGATCAGTTTTTTGAGAGAAACTAGAATATGAAGTAGAATCCATCAAGGGTATCACGTCTGTTTCTTATCTGATCGATTGCTTGCCATTTTCAATAATTTAATAACACCGTAGCAGTATCGGATTTAAGAAAAACTGTCAGACAGTCGCTCTTTCATTTTTGAAATTTTCAAAATTGTTCACACTAAACTCGATCGAAAGATGAGCTCATACTACTCTGGATAGCTTTAAAAACGAATTTTGACGTATTTTGATCTTCCCTTCTAAAAGTGCCCTATTCCACTAAAATCTTAGATATGCTCTCTCAAAAAACTGATTGTTCTTGCAAACATGACATAGGTGAAGGATGATATGATATTATCAATTATTAGGAGAGATCCTAGAAACGAAAATGTTTGAAACTTTTGTTTTTCTAAATCAAAATGAGGACAACTAAGAAATTGATATTCATCAAGGTTTCCATTGGATAGAATGCTTTTAAAGTCTTTCTCAGTGAGTACACTCAAATATGTTCTCTCATAAGTCTCAAAGTAAGAACTCTTACTTTCATCTCTTTTTATTGAACGTCTTTAATAAATACTCAGTTTCATAATAAAATCCAAAATGTCTTAGTTAAAACTTCTGGAAGCGACTCCAATACAATTTTTCGTAGATATATCTATCTTTAAACATCACGTATTTGAATAATTATTATATATATATATTTGTTGTCAATAAATAAAAAAGAAACGTTGACAATATTATTTATATACAACAGATACCATAATATACGAAGACACACACACACACATTAAACACCGAGACCATTGTAAAACAAAAAAAAAAAGAAGATATATTTCTTTATACACATCACTGTGACTTGATGAGAATTTTATATGTAAGTGTTAATATTGCACATCGATAATCTCATCGTCTTCACCTTGTTCTTCTTCTTCTTCTTCTTCATGTGATGATATTTCATCACTACTTGTAGTTGTTTCCATATGTTCTATTGATGGATGATCAATTGTTATTGTTGTTGATGATATTTCATGAGTTTTTGAATGTTTTGATAAATGATCAGAACGCATAAAACGTTTTCCACATTTTGAACAAATAAAACGTTTTTCACCCGTATGTGTACGTAAATGACGTTGTAATTCATCTGAACGTGTAAATGCTTTACCGCAAAAAAGCCAAGTACAACGAAATGGACGTTCACCAGCATGCCAACGTAAATGTGCTTTTAAATGTGATGTTTTACCATAAATTTTTTTACATATATGACATATATGTTGACGTTTCGATGTTGATGAATCAGTTAATATTATTGATGATTGATTAATACAATTAGGACAACGACAACGTTTACATCGCCGTGTTACAGAACCAAATAAATTTGATGAATGTTCATTAACACTCCACCATTTATCTGATGATTCTTTACGTAAAGAAATAGATGATGAATTTGAAGAATTCGATGAAGATAATATTGCAGCAAGAGCATGAGGATGAATTGGTGGAGGTGGAGGCAGTGGTGGTAGTGGTGGTATAAGAGAAAATTGTGCTTGTAAAATTTGTAATGCTTTATAACGAATCATTGCTTCTGCATGTAAGCGATCTAATGGTGACCATGATGTTGGTTGTTTATCAATTTTAATTTCTGATATTGATTGAGGATTTAAAGGTATAGGTCGAGCTATATTTGAATGAGTCATTGAATCCTTAAAATAGAAAACAAAACAAAACAAAATATATGTATATAAAAGGATCATGGGTGGGAAAAAGAGATCAAAGGCAGACAATGAGGACTGAATATATATATATATATATCAGCTAATTCAACTTGAATCACAACTGCACGTGTGTATATTCTTGTCTTGTCTCATTATCCGATGTCGGCGCTCTCTACTGTGATAATCTGTCGGCAAGTGGCCGAAGCTGCCACTGCTATTGCCTTTTTCTTTTTTTTTTGAAGATGACGAGTGGTGTGTTCCGGTTAGTATCAACTTAATTGGACGAAGGGAAATGCAAAGACTGTTTATGTGATGAAATAGCGGTGCATATACTCTCTAGAAATGATTAGTATGCAAATCGAAGAAAGCTTCAAGCTATAACTGACCGTTCATTAGATCAGAAGATAGTCTTACTGCCTAAGGAAATAGTTTTATTCTTTTTTTTTTTAAATAGTTTGATATGTTTCAATGAATGCAATTTCGTTTACATACCATGATTAAGTTATGTGTATGCAGAAGAAATGGATGAACCAGAAGTACCATACTATTCAATGTATCTATAATTGAATTTGAATGTAAAATAATATGCTACCGATAAATATTTTTTTTCTCTCTGTTTCTTCAAACTGTGTATCTAATCTTGAATACTATGCATAAAGATGGCGAACAAGATACCATTCACTCTCTTCTACTGTCCTTCTTGTTTTGTTTTTTTTTTTCTTATACATTCGATGTTCATTATTCCTTAGAATGTTATCCGTATTGGTTGTTAAGAATCGTAGAAATAAATATTGACCAATGAGAAAATGATATACTTTCGCTTTTGTTTGATTGAAAGAAAGAGAAGACACAAATGGGCGGTGTCTATCAAAGAAAGAGAAGAAGAAGAAAAAAACTTAATCTTAAAACGAGTCTTTTTTTTATTCTTCTCTTCAAAGTTGTCCGGTATGTGTTGATTCAAATAATCAGTCATCATGAAGATTATCGACATACAAACTAATTGAATCGACAAGTCTCTCTCTTTCTCTTTTTTTTGTCGAAAAAGTAATTTGATTTGTTTTTTTCTTCATCATACATTGCCGACATAGAGACATATGTATAATAAGAGTAAACATGAATTTCTCTTCTTCTTTTTTTTTTTGTGGTTGTTGTTCCTCAAGAGATTTCCGATATGAACATTCTGCTAATTTGTTGTAGCCACTTAAGAGCATTAAAAGAAAGTACCGATATACAAATACACGCTGGCAAATTGGTTTTTTTTTCTTTCTAGAATGTCATAAAGTCGGTAGTACTCAGGTCTATAATCATCATTGAAAAAAATCAAACGTATCGTCAATGGATGGTGTCACTTGCATGTCAAATTATTGGCGGTATTAGAATGATGATCAAAAGAATCCATTTGACACATGTGTTGTGAATACGGACATAAGCGCATACACTTAAATATTAGACCGATCCTTCTTCAATGTCAAATTTTATTGCCCGCTTGCACATTTCTGTCAACCCTATTATCATCATCATTACTTTTTTACATGTGCGAAAACGAGTGACCGTCATATCTCACGTTTGCTTTTCTTTTTTTTTTATGAAAGTCAAATGACTACTGATTTGACCAACATATGCACGCATGCACATTAATAGGTGTGAACTATAAATTAGATGAGAATGACTTTTTTTTTTCTTTTTACTCGAGAGATTTATTATTTTTTTTGTTTGAAAGTTTTCTTGTTAAATTTAATAAGAATGATACGTGCTGTTTTAATATCAATGAGAAAAGTTCATTTACTTGGTCATCATCATCATCATCATCACAGTTAGTTTATTCTTTGTCGGTTAAATCATTATGATCAATGGTTTATTTTGTTAGTTAGCAGGAGGTCTGATATGCATCATATGTCTTGTTCTTCTTCTCCCTCACTTGTCTATCGAACTATTCGTTCATTCTTTTTGTCTCTATATATATATATATATATGTATGCACTCGAACAGGCGGTTCCAATCACGCCTTTCACTACTAGAGTAAAGAAAGAAGGCCAATCATGACAGGCGGTATAAGATAAAACGAAGACTAACTATGCATACAAACGGTCACCCTTTCACTCAATTCTTCTGTTATTTTTTTTTTGTGTCTTGATCAATACTAAAATGAAGCGTCTGAATCAACATTAATTTCAAATAATAATAATAATAATATACCCTTGAAAACTTGACCCTGAGAATTTATTCACATTTTTCTTTTTTTCTTTTTTTTTTGTATGGTTTTAAATAGTAAATCTCTTGATTCATTGAGTTGGTAGTAATTCAATCGGATTAGGTGCGCATGATCTCAATTTCAAAGTCTTGTGTTTCCACATCGATGGAAACGTCTTACATCCGATTTGAATTTTTTATTCTCCCATTTCCAATCATTCAATCGGATGTACGTTTCATAGAAATAATAAAAAAAAACAGATAGTCTTTTCTCTTTGTAAATGTTTGCAACACTCGATATACTTATCATCTTTTCGTCATTACCTGTCGTATTTCTCTCTTACATATTTTACAAGCAATGATTAACGACATATGCCTTCTGACAAAGAAAAAGATCAAGGAAATACAATATTCATCAGTGAAATGTTTGGTTAAGATGATGAGTAGGATAAGAAGATTATACGAGTAAAATCAAATAAATGATCGATTATTTATCAAAGATTTTCAGAAAATATATCAGTTTTTAGAAGCATTATCATGGAAGATATGTCAATAATAAAAATTTTTTTTTTCTTTTATTATTATTATTATTATTTGTTTAAGAAATTGCCCTTCTCATCATGACTGAGTTTGTCAAAAAGTGTGATATCACATACTTATGCTTCTTCTTCTTCTTCATTTTGAATGAATCGTTTCATCTAGAAACATGTTTTATCTTTCAATAAGTATATTTGTTAAATGTAAATATAAATCTACTGACATCTTCAAACAAGCAATGATCAATTGTTTGCATAGAATTTTAAATATCGATAAGAAGAATTAAATAAAAGAAAAAGAAAAACCAAGAAATTTCTTCTCATGGGGATGAACAATGATTACTTTTTTTTTATTACCTGTTTGTAACATATCATCGATGTCGAGACAGTGATCCTTTTGATGTCTGACTATAATAAGTAATGATTTTTATTTTGCATGTTGTGTCGTTGGAAATGAATAATAGAAAAAAAAGCAAATGCAGTATACTAAAGCGATTGAATCCGTTGAAATTATAAGTGTTTTTAATCAATACAAAGAAACTGCCGTTAAAGGTCTAAATTTTTTTTTTAGTTTTTCTCATTTAGAAAGTTTAAGAATGCTCGAATTGACTTACAAACAAACTTATTCATATATAGATATAATAGAATGTTATATCAGGGAATCATATTATTCATAGGTCTCAATGTAAAGAATAGAAAAACAAAAAAAGTTAAACCGGTAACTATCGGCAGTAAGTCGTTAAATCGGTAACAGACCATTAGACCTGTTTTCTCAGCAATTAAATAATAGTTTTCAAAAAGCATGTATAGATTAAATATCGAGACTTGATGCTTTTGATATATTCCAGTTTTTTATAGGTTTTCTCGATTTTTTTTGTGTTAACCTACGTTTCGCTGTAAAATCATTGTTCGAATATTTCAAAAATCTTTAGAAATAATTCGATGAACTCTAACTATGGCACCTCCTCCCCTCCCCACCTCCATATTTTACATAAATATAGAAGTTATTATTGATAATTAGATAAAATATTTTGTTTTTATTTAATCTACAATTAACAATGATGTACAACTATTACTATTATTAATCTGTAGTTCAGAAGAAATTTCAATAAGAGAAAATCGTTGATTTATTATTAATTTTTGTTTATTATTATGCTCTATTTGTCTATAATAAGTACAAATAAAAATTGATGAAATAATTAAAATAATAATATATAATATAAATAGAATAATAGTAATTATAATTAATAAATTTAAATTAAAATTTTCATAATTTAATAAATGTGTACAAAGTTGATGAATATAAGTTTTTGGATGATAAAATTTTTGATTAATAGGTATAGAAATAAAATTTTTATAACAATAACATTCATATAATGATTGAATACCATGTATACATTTTGTTGATAAATATCGATGATTAAATGGAATAAATAATGATGAAAAATTAAATGAAAATTTTCGTTTAAGATTATTAAGAGTTTCACATTGATTTGTTTGAATATTAAAATAATGATTACATTTTGGATAGATATTATATGATAAATTATTTATTTGAAATAAATATTCATTAATTTGTTTTTTTATTGGTATATAATTTATTTTAATATTTATTAATTTTGAATATGTCATATGATTTTGAAATCTAAATAATAAAGATACTTGACAAAAATAATTATCATTTATATATTTCCATTTCATAGAAGGCCAAAAAAAAATTATTGTTTGATTAACATATGATTTCCATTCACCAAAATTACCACCAAGAATACGTACTGGTATACAATAATCCATAGTTTTACAACAACGTTCAACTACACCTGATATTTGAATTGATATAGGAAGATGATTGAAAAGATTAATATAGAGCACAGTACCAATAGATTTTGTTGATGAATAAATTTGTCCAGATTCAAGAATTTCAATTGATTGACTATGAATCATATATATAATTAGAAGAAAGAATGTTACAGCGCGAATATATGAATAGTTCATTTACTCATTAATATTATTGATTGTAGTATATGCCAATAGAGGCAGATTTTTTTTTCATAAAATAATAATGCAATCGAAAGTAAACAAAAATATGCAAGTATTCCATTTGTAAATCATCTCCAAGGTTTCAGTGTTCTCTCAATGGGTGCGAAAGTGCTCAAACAGGAATCACGATGAGGGTAGTGTTTAAACGCATCGTCAAAAATTCTTGTTTGCTTGGGTATTTCATCAATTCTCATGTACCAAGAATCAGTGCAGTATTTTTGATTCACTAATATAAATAACTCGTTTAAAAATAGAAAAATTTCTTGATTTCTGGATACCACCTAGTGGTGATAGGAACATATGGCAAAATTTTATTTTTTAAATGAGCATAAGATTTGTATATATTTTTTTAAAATCGAAATTAAATATTTAGAATCAAAATGTCGAAAGAAAATATTATGATAACTTTCTTCACATAGTCATATAGAATATCCTGATTCAAGATGGGTTATCGAATTCGACAGGATCCTTTTTTGTTTCAAAACAAACTGACTTATTTAAATCGTTTTTCAAACATTGCTATTATCTAACAAAGGATTTTCATTTAACAAATTTTCATACATAAATAAACATTTTAAGAACTTTCCTTTCTTTTGATTATCATGTTTATCACGATAAACAATAATTCTCAAAGAAACATAATAAAACAAAAATTTACATAAGCACACTATTTTATGATATAAAACTTTAGTTATTATTTGCACTCTTTTTCTTCAATTTTGACATGACAACAACAATAGTAATGTTTTTTGTTCTCTGTCCTTTCAACTTATTTCGTATATAAAAGTAAATCTTCTCGACTAATATTTCTTCCAGTGACGATATTCGATAGGCATAGATAACTGTCCAACCTTTTATAGATAAAAAATTTATAAGATATAAATGATAGGTAATATTATGCAATGCAAAGCAGTGCATTTGGTTGTGTAAAAAATAACTTCGGAATAGAAATAGTTTCTAATGCCGAGATCGATCAACACTTTCTTTAGAATCATATTCTTCTCGTATATTTCTCTGAATATCTTTTTTTAACTCATACGTTAAAGAATAATAAATCACTTTACAATTTGGAAAGATTTTTAAAAAAGAGTATTTCACTAACTCGAATACTAAAACTTATACAATTTTGCTTCTACTTAATCTCTAAAATTAGTCAAAAATGTATATTATGTATAGACAATAAAAACAATTTTCAAGAATAATATAATTACTTTGCTTAACAATTTTTTTTTGTAAGATTTCTTCAACAAATATATATATATGAATGATCTCAGATCTCAAAGAACTTTTTATCAAAGAATATTTATATTACATCATGCATGTTATATCAGTTACAGAGATTTCTTGACAATGGAACTTGCCTAGAGATATTTTTTTAGTCCCAGTTAAAACCAATCGGGTTGGTCTCGAAGCCGAGTCCGGACCCAAAAATTTCCTGTTGACCGGATCCGGATCTAACTTCATGGATGCTACTCTGAAAAAAAGAGTCAATTATAAGTTGATTCTTATAAGATCATGAACGAGATTGCTTCAGAACTGTTGAAGGTGTATTTCTGGGGAATTATCAGGTGCGAATTAAAAAATTTCATTAAGTATCAAGAGTACAATTCGGGGCTGGGTTCGGATCTAAAAAATGTTCAATAAACTGAGTCCGAGATCCGACGGGCTCTAGTTCCGGTAACTTTTTTTCTAGTGACACCGGTCCAATCCTGGATGATTTTCGTTTTTCGGATCCTAGTCTAGAGTCTTGAATTATCCTCTAATTGATATGATTTATAAGAATATTCCCTTAAAAATCATAGAATATTTAACTATAATCTTTAGTTTTGGTTGCAACAATTTTGTTCTCGTCGTCTTGGCAAACTTTCGAATTTTGATCGCACTGTTTCTAAACTCGAGCGTCTTTAAAATTACAATTTATATTGCATCTATCATCAAATTATAGTAAGAATAAAGATAATAAAAATAGTTATATCTTAGAATTTTTTCTTTTTATATAAAGATGTTATAATTAGAAAAAAAAATGACAAAAAAAAAAGTAAAAATGAACATTTGTAAAATTTTTGTAATTATGAATAATTCTTTTCTTTGTTTTTAACATGAACATCCATTTGATTGTGTTGGTCGATTATTTTCAGGTATTTTAATAGGTGCTGGAAAATCAGACGGATGATCAATATCTTTTTCACGTGCTAATGCATTACGTGCAACTGTTTCAAATGCTTTTTCAACATTGATACCTTCTTTAGCGGATGTTTCAAAATAGGGTACATTGGATTTTTCTAGAAGATAAATTTTATGAAAAAAATATTTTTTTGTATAAATTTATTTATACCTGAACACCAATTTTGTGCTTTACGTGATTGAATCTAAATAAATCAAATAAAAATAAAAATAAAAATCTCGTTTTTTTTTTCAAACAAACCACACGATTGTCGAGGTCAACTTTATTACCAATAACCTAAATATGAACATAAATAAATAGAAGTTCTCTTTAAAAAAACAAATCTACATACCACAAATGGGAAATTTTCTGGATCACGAGGTCCAGCTTGCTATTGACAAAAAACAAAAACATTCAATTAATAGAATTAATTTCTAAATCTTAAAACTTACAATAAGAAATTCATCTCGCCAACTATCCAATGAGGTAAATGAATTGGCCGATGTAACATCATAAACAAGTACACAACAATCAGCTCCACGATAAAAAGCAACACCTAAACTTTGAAAACGTTCTTGTCCAGCTGTATCCCATATCTATATTTAAAAAAAAAATTTTTTTTCTATCTAATTTTCATTAAACACAAACACACACACCTGCATTGTTACTAGACGATCATCAATTTGTACTTCTTTAGTTAAGAAATCTGCACCTATTGTTGCTTTATATTGATTAGAAAATTTATGTGAAACAAATTGTCCCATTAAACTTGTTTTTCCAACACCACTATCACCTATTTCATATAGAATTATTACATATATTAATTAAATTAATTAATATCATTTACCTAAAATGATGACTTTAAGTAAAACTTTCTTTCGTCCGGCCATTTCGTTTACAGGTATCAACAGAAAAGAAATCTAAAACAACACACAAACGTATTATCATATGACGTACAAACTCATTGCTATTATCTATTGTTATTATTTACTTAGGACTTTCACTCTTTTATTTTTTTCTTTTTGTTTTATGACACAACATCAACAACACATTTCTCTCAGCTGATGTTGATGTTAGTATGA